TATGGAGGACAAGCGAATCAATGACTTTCTTGTATCTACAGAAATGTAATCGTTTCCCTTGACTCTAAAAATACATTCATTTTCAAATTCTTTTGTGTTTTCCCTCATCAATTTCAAAGGAAACCATATGAGTAAATGTATCTGTTTTTTAAAAATGACTGACTGTAAAATAAAACACAAGCTGTCACATTTTTCATGCATTTGAGTGACTAGGTTAAGTTTCCAGAATGAACTTGGCTCCAGTATAGATTATAGATCTTATTTAGGCATGTCTGACTTGGTAAAAATCCAACTTCATAGTTTGTCATCATTTTTGGCACACTCAATTCTCTAGTTACTTTGCAAGAATTTCTCTAAATGACTTTTGCAAAAAGTCAGCCAACAAACACACAGTGAACACAAACAAAAGCTCCATTGTCTTGCCTAGATGGATAAATTTTGTCTACCAGATGGTTTATCACTCTTCAAACGACTATCATGAAAACCCATAATATTTTCCTACAGCTATTCTAGGGTGTTTGGTCTTTTATCTAATGACTGGGAGATTCTTTTATGGAATGCTTTATTTATAATGTACTTGTTTCACATTTACCTTTTTTAATGATAGAAAAATGCAAGTATGATCAAAAGTAGAGAGGCCTACCTTTATTAATTACCTATTTGTGGTAAATGTTTCCTCTGTACATGTTTCCTCCACGCATTCCCCACTTCCAAATTTTTTTGGGGGGAAGCGGGAATTAGGGACAACTCAGGACCACGTGCTTACTAGACAGTGCTCTACCACTGGAGCCACTCCTCCAGCCGTCTGAATTATGTTTAAACAAATTTCAAAATCATATCATGTCAAAAATCATCATCTCATTCTGTATAGGATGAGCACTGATGGCTCACGCCTGTACTGAGATCTGAGGCTCACTGTTCAGAGCCAGCCCAGGCAGGGAAGTCTGTGAGGCTCTTATCTCCAATGAACCACCAAAAAGCTGAAAGTGGAGCTGTGGTTCAAATGGTATAGCACTAGTCTTGAGCTTAAACGATCAGGGATAGCACCCAGGCCACAAGTTCAAGCCCCATGGCTGGCAAAAAAGAAAAAGAATTCCATACAGATGGCATCAGTTACTTCGAATGAGATAATGTCTGGCTTACTCTATAGGACATTATACATTGATGATCATTACCTGGACCCATCTAGTTTGCACAATGATGGTGTTCTATCATTCCATCTTCCTTTGTCACATGGGACCATTCTACAGTGTCCACAATAGATAGGAATGAGAGCAAACAGAAAGGCCCCTAGTACTTGAGTGTCCATATCATTGAGTTAAGCCTTGGAATTCAAACCACACCCAACCACAATATTTCATTGTTTTGAAACCATCTTCTGCTAGCAATGACAACATCACCTAGTATTTATCGAGCTTTTTTTCTATTACTTTTATCAATGATTATATTGGCTCTTTATAAAAACCGTAATCTTTTGAGAAATTATTCCTTTTCTTCTTTCCTTTCTTTCTTTCCCTTTCTTTCTTTCCCTTTCTTTCTTTCTTCCTTTCTTTCTTCCTTCCTTCCTTCCTTCCCTCCTTCCTTCCCTCCTTCCTTCCTTCTTTTCTTTCTTTCTTTCTTTTTCTTTTTTGTTAATCATGGGGCTTGAACTCAGGGCCTGGGCACTGTCCCTGAGCTTTTGTGTTCAAGACTAGTTTTCTACCACTTTGAGTCACAGATCTACTTTGGATTTTCAGGTGGTTTATTAGAGATAAGTCTCACAGACTTCCCTGCTTGGGGTGCTTCAAACCATGATCCTCGGATCTCAGCCTCCTGAGTAGCTAGGATTACAGGTGTAAACCACCAGCACCTGGCAAGTATGATTCTTTGTGACCCGTGGCAGGTGGCTGTGCAGTCCCGCTGGGGGTGCTGCAGGAACGTAGGGAATGCTCTAAATCCCACTTACAGCCTTTTCTTTCCCATGTCCAACGGTGTGTGTGTGTGTGTGTGTGTGTGTGTGTGTGTGTGTGTGTGTGTGTGTGTGTGCATGCGCACCCGTGCGCACCAGTAGTGGATCTTGAACTCAGAGCTTGGGCACTGTCCCTAAGCTTTTTGCACAAAGCTAGAGCTCTACTACTGAGCCACACATCTACTTCTGGCTTTTTTTTTTTTTGGTGGTGGTGATGGTGGTTAATTGAAGATAAACGTGTCATAAACTTTCTGGCCCAGGTTTGCTTTGAACTGTGATCCTCAGATATCAGCCTCCTACGTAGCTACATTTATAAACTTGAGCCACCGTCTCCCAGCTCTTATCATTTCATATGCAGCAATTTTGATTTGCTGTCTATTCACCGGTCATCACAATAAAGCGCCTGTATTCAAGAGGCTGATGAGCACTCTGGACCCTTGCACGGAGGTGGTAACAGTGGCTTCCTTCAGAAGCTATGCTGCCTTGGAAGCTCTTCTGTACATCTGAAGGAGCCAATGTTACTGGAATACTGTGAGTTCAAAGGCAGCAAAGGCAGGGATCATTCTAACGCTGACATGCTTTGCGTGTCTTTAAGCAAATAAGTGAACTTCAAGGAGGTTCATTTATCAGTTAGGAAACAGAAAACCTGAGCTGTGCATCTTGCTGGATGGGAAATAGGATTGGAATAGGATAATAAATGTGCACATTGGGAGATGCTCTGTACAGTGAACCATTACCTAAGGGTGTTAGTAGGAGTACTTCAGTACCTAACAACAGTTTGAACAACATCGGCAGGATGCTTACTATGTGCCAGGCATAGTCCTAATCCTTTTACCCATATTAATTCAGGTCGTCTTCATGGCAGCATACTATTTCTATTAGTTAAAAGTTAATGTACTAGACAGTTTGATAGCAAGTAACTTGGCTAAAGTTCTTTCACTAATAAGTGGCAGAATCAGGCTTGAATCCAGGGGTGGGAGACTTCTGCCTGAATACTGAACTACTTACTTGACCACACTCTAATTAAGGCCGAAGTCAGAATCAGTACACCCGAGCATTTAGAGAAGTTCCTAAGACAGGAAAGAGTTTTATGAATTAAATGCTTACTATATTTGAGAACGGTCAGAGGGAAAAATCCCTTCAAAACAACATTTCACAGAAACAACTACTGCAAACAATGAGCAACTTGTCACTCAGAAGCCATTGCCTCAGTCAACACATACATGCAACATGTATGTGTGTGTAGGTGTGTATGGATACGTATGTATCCATTGATAGGTCACCAAAAAGAGATTTCCAATGTTGAATTGAAATCTCTTTGTACAACTACTTAAATAAATAAATTTTGTTCAGGTGCTGGTGGCTCTAACCTGTAATCCTAGCTATTCAGGAGGCTGAGATCTGAGGAGCCAGCTGGGGCAGGAAAGTCTGTTGAGGCCCTTATCTCCAATTAACTACTCAAAAAGAAGAAAAAGAAAAGAAATCCCAGAAAGTAGAGCTGTGAATCAAGTGGCAGAGCATTAGCCTTAAGCAAAAAATGTTCAGAGACAGTGCCCGGAACCTGAGTTCAAGCCCCAGGACCAGCATAAAAAAATTAATAAAGGAAAAGTGAGATTGCCAGATCCCTAGCAGGGATGATGGATGGTTGTTCAGCCACAGGAAGGGAGACTGGGGCCAGCAGAGACCAGTAGCCCAGCTGTGAGGGTGCTCTGGCCTCTGCGCTACGTATCCCCTATCCCTGCCACCATGGGAGCAAGTCCAACCTGCTGGGCAGAGATAACTGCACACTTAGGCTTTGATTGTAGACCCCAGCCTTGGCTTCCACCAATTGAAAGGCATGATTTTCCTACTGTGGAATGTGGACACTGTGGGGCTTTTCCTCTGATTGATTGATCGGTCAGATTGGTCTGGCTTACATGTGCGCATAATTGAATGTGAACCACTCGGGAAACATTCTGAGAGCCCAGCCACTAATGGTGTCTTTTAGACCAGAGACCAAATCATCAAGAGGAGATGCTGTGTATCGAAAGAGGTGCTTCTTCTCCTGTCTCTTCTCTCCTAGGAAGAGTTCTCTGTTAGATACCTTTTTTTTTTTTTTTTTTGAGTGCTGCTCTGTGATGCTATCCAAAATTAATGTTTCTAAGGAGTTGTAGTACCAGATGCCAGAAGAGCCAGGCTCATTTTTGCAACTGGATGAAGCCGGCTAATGAGAAACAGGCCTAGGTCACTTTCTAGCCATTTCTTAGCAGGGCCAGGAGGAAAAGCCTGCTCAGGCTTCTGGATCCCACACTCCATGTGGCAAAGGCTAGATTATGCCTGGCTTTGTGGTGGTCAGGAAAGGCCTTCAAGTCTGCATAAAAATATTTTGTTGGCTTACAAGTTCCTGTCGCTGTTGTGTGTCTCTGTGTTACGAGGAATGGATTTTTTTTTAGATTCATCTGTTTGATTATGAAGATGGAATGACTGACAAATTCAGATAGGGACAAGACAGCCTTAGTGATGCTTTACTCTGCCAGGTGCTCAAATGCAGCCTGGTTCAACTTCCATGCGGCCTCTGCAACCCGGCTGCTAGCGGGACATGCTTTCCTGAGTGTGGCAGGAAAATCCACGGACTTCATTGGCTTCCAGCCTGTGAGCCTCTCAGTAGGTTTCAGAACATCGGGGACTGAACAAAGACGTTTCAGAATACGGTCTCTGACCAGAAAGCCCTTGCACAGCGGGAGCGAAAAGGTTCTCTAGTCCCACTTCAGAGATTCCCCAGGATTCAGGAAGTCTAGAAACTGCTCCCATTTTGCTTTCAAGTGTAAGCTCCAGATAAAACAACAAAAACTTGCACCACAAAAGAGCAGGATGTGGCATACTTAGTGGACTCATGGCCTACAGCCCTGGTGAAATGCCATCATTTAGCAGGTCTGCTATTGCCCACTGTGTCTGCTTTCTTGAATTAATGCATTATACCCTCCCACCCCTCACACACCTGTATCCATGGTTACCTCTTCTGCAGTTTCAGTTACCTTTAATCAACCATAGTAGAAAATACTGAGTGGAATGCTTGCGTTAGCCGTACATATGCAAAAATTGAACTGATACAGAGAGGATTAGCATGGCCCTTGAGTAAGGATGGCATGCACATTAATGAACAGTTTCATATTATAAAGAAAAGATATGGAAAAGTTTCTAAATAAAAAAGTTATTTATGTAATTTATATCATTATTATAATAATTATTATTATTATTTATTATTCTTTTGCCGATACTGGAGTTTGAACTTTCGGCCTTATGGTTGCTTGGCTAGCATTCGACCACTTGAGTCATGGCTCCTGTCCTGCTTCTTGCTGATTAAACAGACATAAAATCTCACAAACTTTTCTGCCCATATTGGCCTTGAGTTGCCACTCTCCTGGTGTCAGCCTCCTGAGTAAAAAGAATTACAGATGTGACCCACCAGCACGTGGCTCAATTTGTATGCTTTAAACTGCACATTTTTCTGAATAGTGTGATGAGATCTGTGCTGTCCCATTCTGTTGTACTAATCATGTGACTCATTCTTCTGTCCAGTGTATTCATGTTACCCAGTCACTTACCGGCTGTCTCAGTCAGCAAATCAAACACTGTGGTATCCCAGTGCTTGTGTTCAAGTAACCCTTACTGCATTAATAATGGCCACAACTCCAGCAATTCAGATATGCCAGAGAAAGTTATAGTGTACTTTCTTTACGTGAAAAGGCAAAATTTCTTGGGGGGGATTACATATATATATAGATAGATAGATAGGTATGCTAAAGTTGCTTATGATCTACAATAAATGATATCTTGGGAAAGAAAGAGAGATCATGATTGTATAACTTTCTTACAGATTTTATTGTTATACCTGTTCTATTTTAGAATGATGGTTGTCAATCTCTTATTGCATCTACCTTGTAAATTAAAATTTCCACACATATTACGCATGTATGTATAAAAATCATAATATATATAGTGGGCTGGGAAGGTGGCTCAGTGGTAGAGTGCTTGCTTTGCATGCATGAGGCCCTGGGTTCAATTCCTCAGCACCACATAAGCAAAAAAACTGGAAGTGGTGCTGTGGCTCCAGTGGTAGAGCGCTAGCCTTGAGTTGAAGAGTTTAGGGACAGTGCGCAGGCCCTGAGTTCAGACCCCACAACTGACAAAAGAAAAAAAAAAAAAAAGAAAGAAAAGCTTAAAAAAAATCATAGTATATATAGTCCATAGTTTGGGGAGTCCTCTGAGAGGGGGGTCTTAGAATATACCCCTGGTAAGTCATGGGAACTACTGAACTCAGAGATAAACTAGACCGTTTGAAGATGAATGAATTTGCATGCACATGTTATGATACACCGCTTCTTCTGGTTCAGCATGTATCCCTACTTTTTTTTTCTGTCGCACATATCTAACAGGAAGTGTGCAGTGAGCAGAGCCAGATGGGAAAGTGTGTCAAATGATAATGCCCTGATGTGATGGGAAGAAGCAGGGATAAGCAGAACTGGAGTTTTACTGTTGCACCAACATGACACAAGATTACCTATCCTGACAAGATTCAAGCATTGTGTTTTTCTAAATCCTCTGTCATTTGTGCAAAAACAAGAGGAAAATATGACATCTAACCTTTCTTCCTGTGAAAACAATCACTGTCCTCCACACGGTGCCAACAACAATGCTTTTATCCCTATTTATTGTGGGAGCCAAAGCTACAGCTTGGGGAAATCGCTGCCCAGTTGAAGCATGTGTTATATACATTGTTCTGTGTGAGAAACTCTGGTATGTGCATGTGCATCACAGTGGGCGTGTGTTATATGGGCCCATGCATGTGTGTAGCCATGTGTTGTATGTGCATTATTTTACACTATTCAGGAATATAAGAAGACATCACAACTATTTTATAGAGAATGAGCTCTTATTTTGATTCCCCAAACTTGGCAGAATTTTGTGTGTTTTTTCTTTCTTTGTGCATTAAGAAATTAACTTGCCATTTTTAAAATGTTCATTAGAAAGATGGGCTCTTTTAATACATGTCCTTAAAGAACTTTCTCCACGTGAATCGTGTATATGTAATTCTCTGAAAAGGAGATTTGCTTAAGTTGTGATTTTTTTTTCCACAGACCATTCTTAGTTTATCTGTCAAAAACAAGTAGAAAGGGGAATGGCTGGGGGTAAGAGGTTGGGAGAGAGTAGCTGTGAGGGATGCTGCCCTTCCCTTCTCCCCATAGAGCGTGGAATGAAAGACTAAGGCACACAGAAATCTACCAGAACTGTGGCTTGTTGTCTGCGGCTGTTGATGACATTTTATGGCGAGGATTTCCAATGGAACATTTTCTTGCTATCACAGGGGAACAGGCCACTCAGGGTGGTTTCTGAGTTCTGTGGCTAAAACCTCTATCTTCTGTTACCAGAAGCAGAAACACAAATGCAGCCCGACATGCACTGGGTTGAAAACTTAATGGAAGGAAATAAATACCCAGAAACACACACACACACACATACAAGCGAGACTGAGGGATCTGAATAACATTGGTAGATTATATCCATGTTAATTTCTTGGTTGTATTGTTTTTATTTTTTGTTGTTGTTTGTTTTGATATAGTTTGCTTTGATGATGTTGTTTTGTTTTTATGCTGGTCCTGGGGCTTGAACTCAGGACTTGGTGCAGCCCCTGAGCTCAAGACTAATACTCTACCACTTGAAGCACAGCTCTGCTTCTGGCTTTTTAATTGGGGGGGGGGGGGGTGTGGTTAATTGGAGATAAGAGTCACACAAACTTTCCTGCTTGGGCTGCCTTCAAACCACAGTCCTAAGATTTCAGCCTCCTAAGTAGCTAGGATTACAGGCTTGAGCACATGTACCCAGCTTTATTATGCTATAGTTTTATAAGATAAGAATATTTGGGAAGAAACTGGGCAAAAATATAGGCATGTCATGTGCCTTTGACCAATGCCAGGCAGAATGTCTGTGAGACCCTTATCTCCAATTAACCAGCAAAAAAAAATAAGCCAAAAGTTAAACTGTGGCTCAATGTTAGAAAGCCAGCCTGGAGCAAAAAAGCCTAGAGAGAGTACAAAGCCTCAAGTTCAAAACCAGCACCAGCATACACCCAGACCCACCCACACATACACACACACAAATCCACAGCAGATTTAAATTATTTCTTACAATTGCATTTAAATCTATAATTATCTCATGGTTAAAAACATGATTGTTTTTAAAAATTTAGAAAATGAGAATAAAACTGTCTACTGCATTGTTTTAAGACGTAACTGTTACATTTTAAAAAATAATCTAATTAAAAGATGAAGTGGCTTTTATAACTTGAAAATAAATTACTAGTGTATTATCATAGCAAATAAAATATGAAAGAAAACAGATAGAGTAATGTAGCATGTTTCAATCTGTAAGTGCTGAGCCTATGTTACATTATAATGAGAAATATGAAGACTTTTTGTGTGTGCAAGTGATGTTAAATTTACATTTTACCATAATTAGCAGCATTCAGGTAGACCTAAAACCTTAATAATTTTGGTTGGAATAAAATAATGGCATTAGATAAACCCATTATCCTGTTTTTTCTGTCATGTGAGCCATTATCATCCTATTTTTAGGCTTCTTATTCTTGCTAGGGTTACAGGTATGTGACAGTGCATCCAGCATTCCTCTGTGGATATAGAGTCTCGGATTTTTCTGCCCCAGCTTGCCTGGAATTTCAATTCTCCTGTTCTCAGCCATGTACATACATTGGGATGGCAGATGCATGCCACCTTGTCTAGCTATGATTTAAAAATAGTTTTTGAGGGCTGGGAAGGTGGCTCAGTGGTAGAGCGCTTGCCTTGCATGCCTGAGGCCCTGGGTTCGATTCCTCAGCACTACACAAGCAAAAAGAAAAAAGTCGGAAGTGGCACTGTGGCTCAAGTGATAGAGTGCTAGCCTTGAGCTGAAGAGCTGAGGGACAGTGCCTAGGCCCAGGGTTCAGGCCCCACAACCGGACCCCCCCCTCCCCCGCCGCCAAAAAAATAGTTTTTGAGCTTTTTTTTTTTTTTGTCTAGACTAGCTTCAAATGACAATACTCCTATTCTCAGCCTCCCAAGTACCTAGGATTTACAGATGTGATTTATGGGGATCCAGCCCAGAAGTTACATTTTAAACTCTTTTATTTTGAGATGGTTGCATATTTCCTCTATATTATTATATAAAGAATATATAAAATATTATGTAAAATTAAGAAATAATAGAGAAATGTCTTATGTAGCCTTCTCAATGTTATCCACAGGAGAAACATCTTGTGTAGTTATAGCATAATATTATAACCAAGAAACAATCCATTGACTTAATTCATGGCAAAGGATACCTTTTATGGCAAATAAAACTATGGTTTTAAAGTTATTGAATAAACACTTGGCCACTGCCAGGTTACTTTCCAAGAAGCACACTGTAGCAATTGAAAATGACTTCCAATGTTGCAGGTGCAGAGGGCTCTTTTCCCCTCTCCCTTCTCTCTCTTTTGTTAGTTCTTTTCTTTTTCTTTTCCTTTGTGTGTGAACACAGGCCACCATGATAACGAGGAATAAACTGCTTTCGATATTTTCTGACACACACTTAGGTCAGTATAAAGCTGTGAGATGAATTGTTTGTCGCAAAAAATATATCAGAGACGAGACTTGGAATATATCAGAGACCAGACTTTATAGAAATGGAATAATTAAATTTCCTCTGGAAGCTATTTCACTTCCTAACAGCCTGTCAAAATCCCAGAGATTTCAATCCTTGTGCTGTAAGGTTCACCGAAAGGAAACCTCCATGTGGTTGTTCCGGCAGAGGAGAGTTCATCCTAAGAACCAAGCCTGCACAGGATGGAGGTGTGCAGAGCAAATCAGGGTAAGACTGAGTGAGGTATGTGCAGGGAGAGGGTGCGGGGGGAGGGGAGGAGGCGTGGCCACGGCAGATGTGATCTCATTGGCTGGGGACCATTCAGGGTCCGAAGGAGGCGTGGCAAGGCGGTTCTGGGCATGACCTCAGAAGAGGAGGAAATGATTTCAGTATCCCAGTCACCTGGGTTAAGCAGGTGCTGGGCGGAGACTTCTAGGGAAGGGGCCAGGTGTGCATGGAGGAGCCATTCTTCCCTGATGGATTTAAAGTGTACGACACAGCC